TCCTGTATCGACATACTTACGTAGCCGAGTGTTTTTCATTTAACAAAACCATTACACCGCCGGGTGTATATCATGTGACGACACCATTACACAGATGAGTTTGAATCCAGTGACGACACAATTTCACAGACGACGGGTGTGTATCATGTAACGACACCATTACACAACGGCTGTGTATCCTGAAACGACACCATTACACAGCCGGCTGTGTATCCTGAAACGACACCATTACACAGACAAGTGTATATCCTGTAACGACATTACACAAACGGGTTTATATCCTGTAACGACACCATGACACACACTGATGTGCATTCTGTAACGACACCATTACACAACCGGCTGTATAACCTGTTAATACAACAGTACACATACGGGTGTGTATCCTATAATGGCAACAGTACATAGACGGTTGTTATCATGTAACGACACCATTTCACAGACGGTTGTGTATCCTTTAACGACACAATTTTTCAGCCTGGTGTGTATCCTGTAACGAAACCATTACACAGCAAGGTGTACAATATATATCCTGTAACGACAACATTATAACGCCGGGTATGTATCCTGTAATAACATCATTGCACAGACAAATTTGTACCCTGTAACGACACCATCACACAGCCGGGTGTATATACTGTATCGACACCACAACACAGACGGGGGTGTATCCTGTAACGACACCATAACATAGCCGGGTGTATATCCTGTAACGAAACCATTACGCAGCAAGGTGTACAATATATATCCTGCAACGACAACATTATAACACCGGGTGTGTATCCTGTAACAACACCATTGCAAAGTCGCCTTTCAGACATTTCAATGGATTCAGTGGATGTCGTTTTTGCAAATATTAATGAGGCTATATAGTATTATATTTCCATATATATATATGCAGACTAAACATCACAGATGTTATATTGTGATATTTGAAACAAAACAAAAAAATATGGTAAAAATGCAATATTACTTATATGTATAATACCAATATAATTTTAATTTTTCGAGACGAGATTTGACTTATTGGTGAGCTTATGTTAAGACCGTGTTGTAGTTATACTTTCCGCACTCTGTGTGTTAGTTCTGAAATTATTGATTCTTGTTCTAAATTGACCGCATATATGTTACTTTTGGGTGTGTGCTGGTTCGAAATGACTGAGATAAAGTGAACAGATACAATAATTGTTTTCACTTACTAACACGACATTATGTCTGTCACCAGTTTAACGAATAACCTAATAGTATCCTCTCTACTTAGGTAGGTATATGGTATCCGTCTTTGAATGTCGTCATTGCGCATTTTCCTCCGACAGAGGAATACGCTTCGTCATGTTCTTGGTCTACATCTCTATGAAGGGTCCATATTATCAATAATTCAAAATGAATCACGGCTTGAAATCAAAAGTGAAAACAAGACAAGTCTGAATTCCTTGACCCCGATGTCAAACAACACAGCGATGTGCATGTGCTTGATAACTAATGTAATCTAACAATACATTTTCTTTTTTCCAAGGAGAACCAAGCTCGACATGATTATGTAGACCAGTCTCGCTGTATATCAATACATGGCACGGATAAAAACCTGCCTCCTTTGTACTTGATTCCGGTATTTCACAAGAAACCTTATAAATATCGTTTTGTCGCTGGTTGTGCTGAATGCTCAACAAAGCAATTATCCAAACTTGGAACTACCATTCTTAGTATCATAATATTTTGGCTACAGTCTTATTGTAGTACTGAAGTAGAATTACTGGGATATTGTCTTTAATATGTTTGCACCCTCAATACCACCATTCATCATATTTAATAGAAGAATACCAATGCGATATAAACATAAAATCAAGATAATTACGTTTCTGACTGACACAACTTTGTAGTGCTCAGAGCAGCAGCCTTCATTCATTAGTTTAATGTTAAGGTATTCATGTTTTCCTTGAGTGAAATTTAAAGTCTATACAGTTATTATCCATCCGTTTATTTAGTTCCTGAAAATTCAACATATATATAACAAACACAAACACGTTTCAATCAAATGACATTTTGTATCAATACATAATTTATTCGAAATGTGTATGTAACAGTTTTAATGATGGAAGCAATTTTTTGAAGACATCTATCAAAACGGTTTCAAACTATTTTTGTTTGAAATTGTATGACAATATGCATTGTCGATGAAACGTCTAAGGGTATAATGAGCAAAGGCGATAGGGGTTCGATCCTCGATGTCGTCGTGCACATGGATATTCAGAGAAAGGTGTTTTTGTCCTGCCCACACAATACCAACAACCCAGGTGGATTATACAATGGTATGGGGTGGATGTTGCGGTATCTGTGCTATAACATTCAAGTAAGGTGGCACTATAAATGATGCCGTTGGAAGCACGGTCCCATTACAAACAGATCACAACGCATCTCCAGCACACAAGCAGGCATACACACAAAGGGATATATTAGCAAGGTGGCAATGGACTAGTAGTTAGCGCCTGATATGGCAACTCCTACGAATTCCTCAAAATTATATTGATTAATGTATATATGATAAATGTATTAATTGTATATGTACTGTAAAGCGCTTTAGAGTGGCTAATGCTAACTAGATAGGGTGATATATCAAATGTATATTAATATTAATATTAACGGAGATTGAAAGCTTGAATTAGGATGGCAACCTCTGCTAGCTTTTAAATGGTATCCGTATACTTCGTTAAAATCTATTGAAAAAGCAAAACAGTCCTTAAACTCATTTTATAAAACGTCATTTAAACTGTGTTGATTCATCAAACATTATTGTCTGTTTTATATGATACATCTTGCCGATGGCCGACCGACAAAGCAAAGTCCAACCCCAAAGATTAACGTTGGTACGTTGTGTTGATTCCGGGTGAACTGAACATGCCCCAGTTGTCCGGTTTCACATTTAGGTTTTAGCTAAACCTGTATTGTTCAGTCGTACTCGTTATGTGTTCTAAAAATAGAACGCTTATTCCCAGCGACAAAACAACTCATTTGGGTTCGTTACAAATGTTTATAATCATACACACTAATTTGATTCAGTAAGGTTATTTGCGTTGTGGCCCATATCAGTATAGCATATATAGTTCGGTCAGCACATGAGTTTGACTTTCTGTAAATATAGAATTCTCTGATAAAATAGTCTACATGCACACTTATAGTATAGGGATTTGTTTTGCATGAACAGAACGTCAAACTCCGGTGGTGTTATAGACATAATGTATGATATGACCCATATCAGTATGCCTCTAATGTTATGTGTACATACTAAACAGAGACATTTTAATGAGCTACTGTGTTAACGCAGATACCTAGTCGCTGCATATTCATTGACAAGTTGCAATTAAGAAGATTCGAAGAAAATAATTGCTACTACAGGAATCAACAGGATTTATAATTATTCTTACTTCACATACATTCTAGCACATAGTGTATAGAAAAGTCCTAGTCATAGTAATTTAAGGATGGTTTATTGAGTGTGAGGGGAATGTTAATACAATATTCTACATTTTGGAACTTGAAAATAATATATGTTCAGTGTTTTGTTTACAGTATAATAAATTATTCATGCTACATCGTCATTTTCATGTTGTTATAGTATATAGGGAAGATAAACAAACGTGTGATTGATGTTCCTATAGCTACCTAGCCCAGAGTACCTCGCCTTTTAGTTTCTGTTTGGTTTTTAGAGAGGAAAAATAATCTGATAGATACTTTTTTTCTTATGAAAATGACTGAGTTGTTAATCAATTGTTAAATCCCTATCTGTCATTAACTTTAATTTTCTCAACATGTCTGTCATGCGCCTGCAATGACTAAAACAATATTTGTTTGATCAGATCATTGTTGTTTTCTGCCTTATTGTAGAAACAGGCGGAACAATACTTGTTAGAAACAACTGTTAACATTATTCATTTACTCAACTTTTAAAGTCACCACAATCGTTCCATAAATGTCAATATCGTCCTGAGGCGTAAACCATTATGTACATGTGTTTCGCTATAAAATGGCATACATATTGTTTTAAGGATGTACACCTATGAGAAGTCAAAAATTTCCTGTATTAAAGTTTTTTTCTTATATGGATTTTTGGGAAAAGGAGTTAGTGGCATAGTAGAAAATGCAAACAAAATATATGTCGGTGTGTTCGTTTTTGTGCTATGTTCGGTCAAAAATACCAATTTAACACAACACGTGATTTTAGGTCATTTTTTGGGTTTTGACCATTTGCAGAACAAATTCATACAATTTCTTCCAAGTGTGTTATCAGATATGTATGAATGTTTTTAGAATTGATACAAATATTATTTTCTTTTAAATTATGGAAGGGAAATTTCTTAATCTTATTCTTTTAACTCATAAAGCCGATTTTAGTTACTCCTACCCCCTATTTTTTAATGAAAAAAACTATTTTTTACCATATTTTTTTTCAGATTTAACGCTTGAAATAAAAGGTTCTGGTATTTTTTATTTTTTTAAATATTTAATGAATTAAATGAAAATGAGTTTCTCTTTCTAAAACATCTACCAAAATGGGGGTCAGTGTGCTTTTTTTTGTCCCATTATCATTTGTGTTATTTTTTACCTTTTTCGGAGTCATAAATCAAAGTGCTTCAGTTACACTAAATACGTAAAAAAAATATCAATAATGTATAATTTTCAAGTTTGTTGCATAATATTCTGATCATTTTGAACATTATAAAGTTGTACAGCAAAATTGAACCTGCTACAATTAAAAATGGCGACACAATAACAATATAAGTGATCAATCTAGTGTCAAAAAGGAGAAATTTTGGCCTTTTTTGAAGCGCAAGAAATACACATTAATACACATTTTCAAAATGGCCGCCTAATTGGTATTTTTTTAAAATTCTTGTAAAATAAGCTCTACAAACAACAGGCATCTAGTTTTTTGACATATTTTTCAGATGCGTGTTTGCTTATAAACTTGATCATAACTTGTTAAATATTACAAAAACCCATTACACCAGATCAAAACGAGACTTGAACGTGATTGAAACCTCAGAAGAGTACATCCTTAAGACGTGGTATGTAGATCACAATTTGGACATTGAACCACTTCACTTTTTTATTTGAAATGTTAAGTTGTATTAATGTTTATATACAGTACATGTTATAAATGCATATTTGTTAATACATTGTCATGAACAGCGAATAATTAGGTATTTGTTACATAAGTATATTTGACACAAAAAAACAAACAAGCACTATTCCATCCGTTTAAAACATTGCACGTAATTTAACCAGTACCTATTTGACATCTTAGAGTCACGAATGACACATTTTAGATGAAACTAAATACACTTCTGCCATCTTAGCTAAATCAGTTGACCAATGATGGGTTCCCAAACATCAAATTTCCGTAGTTAAGTCGCTGTCTATCCGTCCTTAATGAGTGACGTGTTGGTATAGATTTGCTTTGAGCTTGAACCTAAATACAAAGCAAAAGAAAAGCATTATTTTTTAACCAAAACGAAAAGTATCTAAAATAAAATGATCAAGCATCGCTGCAGTTTATTTGTTGGTGTTTGCAACTACTATTGAAAATATTTATTAAATGTATCTAAACAGTTTGTATTTAGGCATTTTTATGAAAATTTAAATGAATCTGTATTGTAGTAATAGAGCAAAAGAATGTATGATAGAAATTACACGCGAATAATATTTAGACATACTATAAGGGAACACTACATTTCATGTATTGAACATTTCATAAAATCAACACGAATCGTTTTCCAAATTAAGTAGCCATGTCGTTTATACCCAAAAAATGATGTTTTGTTATGTTCTGTAAATATTGCAACATATAGGTACAATATGTTTTTTTATATAAGAAGTAGATGTAGGTAAGTTATTAAAGGAATACCCACATATCAACGTTTTTCTTAATGTAGCTCGTTTAATACGTAAACGGACAAACCTACTCGTGCGCTTAAGACATATATTCGTCAGCACAAAGATGGAATCATGTGCGCCATGTATTGTAAATGCATATAAGGGTTTTGCCGTGCATGAAGAGTGTCATCCTCACCTCTCCTTTCTTTGAGTTCCTCGTATACATTTGGGCCCGATACTCCTCCAAGTGTTTCATAATTGCTAAAAACATGACCATTAGCTAAGTAAGTTAATTGAATACGTAGTCAATTCAATGTTAAATATTCATGTTACCGATTTATTTGTGTTTTGTTTAAAATAAGTTTTACCACAAAACCGTTCTTTTTGTTTCAAATGTTTATTTCCCTTTTTCTTACTTCTGCATAGTTGCAGTCCCCATGTTGTTTGATATTGCAAGTGCTTCTAATTCTGTTCAATTAAATAGTTTTAAAAGGTGTCGTGCAGTTAACAAGTAAAGATTACCTTCTTTCTGCTCTTTCATCCAAGACAATATCTATATCAACAAAAACGAATGTTAATGAATGTTGATTTGAGATAGAATATCATGGGTTAAACGTTCCTTAATCTTTAGCAATAACACAACATCTGTAATGGTGCGATACTTTTGTTTAATAATTACGTATTATTGGACGATAAACCAAGCGCGTGCTTGTATTATTTTGTCAACAGAATATGCAAGTGGTATTGCAAATCCAAATAAGTGAACATTGGGACTGGTTTTCGTTGTTCAATAGGGGTACAACGTTATACCTTGGGAGATTTGTTAACAAACAAAAACAAACAACAGTTTCGATCTAACCTTTAGATCCACTAATCCTATGTTGAGCTCATGACTAGAATGTTCCACCTAGCTAACCAATGAGGTGACTTGAAGAGGTGTTTATATATCTGTCAATGTCGGTTGCAAATGAAAGCAAACAATATCGACAGATTTATGTCTTTATCGATTTATTATTTATCTATTTTACAGCAGGACTATACTTTTTAGTGTTTGTTGTATGTCAATATAAAAAAGCATTGGCATTTCGGACCCCATACAATGGAGATCAGGTCATCAATGATACATGTTCCAAGTGCTTCACTTCCATCAGCCATACACAAATTGTCTCAGCATTCGCGGGGTAACGCTAATGCAGCGGGCACGATTACTCTCTGCTAGTTTTGTCGTTTTTCGTATATTTCTAATACATCCGCAAACTATTAGGCATATATCGCATTATCAAATGTGTCCAGGTAAACCAGGCAGAACAGGACAACTACTTCTTGTGTTATAGATGATACAATTGCGCAGCTTGTTTTGAAATGAAATAAGCACCAGGTGACAAATGTTTGCAAACGCACAAGAACAGTCTAATGGACATAATATAATGCCATGGGCTATGTACACTGGGGTAACCACAAATTCACTTGCATTACATTTTACTTTGTCAAATAGATATGATTACAATATGTGTGTATTATGGTGATATATGTAGCTTGAGATTCGACAACAGCGACAAACTAATTTAATGAGGCTTAGCGGACTTCCTGAATCAATCTTCCAAAGTTTTGTTATCTTTGTTATATGTTTAACCATAACAAACGAACATAGGTGGATATTTCTTAATCGTATCATCCTGATCAATTCACAATACAAACTCATTTCTGATTGAGTTGCTAGAGTTTTTCTAAGTTTCCTTTGCTTTGTTTTCAGGATAATGTTTCTGTAACTTGAATAACTGAATCCCCCAAACTATGATGCAAAGTTTTAGATGGACAAATTTGAAACTTGTCTCGGGTCATGTCAAAATGAGAGCAAATAACTTATTTTAATTGGTGATTAAAAAATAAATGTATTATAAGACAACACTTGTGATCTCAGTGACCTTATGGAAAACCTACAAATGCATCAAATGGTCAATGAACCAACCCGTCGTACTGCTGATACAGAGACACTGATTGATAATGTATACGTGTCGGCACCGGAATTTATTATGGTGGTAAAGGTAGTGAAAAATGTTCTTAGTGACCACTACCCTGTGGGCATTGTACGTTCAAATTTTGCACATACTAATATGTTATATAGATCATTCAAAAACTTTGACGAAACAAAGTATTGAGGTGATATAGCCAGTGCTCTTTGGTTGAAATTGAAATTTAGAATAGTATGTATGTAATAGTATGTATGTTTTTTAAATGTCTAAATGGATTAGTACCAAATTACTTAGCAGACAGTTTTTGTCTAGCTAGGATTGTCCAGACATGAAGTTGTAGGTTTTTGGATGCAAATAATATTTGTGTTCCAAACATGGAACAACGTTTTATCCCAAACACTTTTTTTGGATTGCTAGTATTCAACTTTGGACTGTACTTCCAAAAGAATTAAAGAATGTCAATACATTTAACAATTTAAAACAGAAAGTTGTCAAACATCTTCATACATTATAAAAGTAGCTTTTTTAATGAAGTGAACCATTTTTGTTTTAAAGTATGCAACATTAGTGTATAACTAGGTCAATTTTTAAGTTTTTGCTATGTTAACATATATGTAAATTAGGCATGTGACATTTAATTGATGAAACGACGTTGCATAATTGTGCATTCTGTGATATTCTTAATATAAGACAGCTGGGATAATAGTTTTAAGGTGATCGTGTCTTAGAAAATTATGATACAATATATGTTATGCTATTTTTTTCATAAACTAATTAACACGTGCATTTTACTAACAGGGGGATCATGTGGAAGATTAGCCCAGGGCTAAACATGTATATATCCTAAATAAAGAATGTCTATTATTAGTATTATTATAATTATGAATACAAAGCATACCGTGTGCAGGTCTCGCTGGGTCGTACACGTTTTGTGCTGCAAAGTCTGTTGCATTCAATTCAGTATACAGACTTCTGCAATAGACAATCCCCATATAATTGATTGCATTGTCGTAATCAATTTAGTTTCCTAGTTATATTTATACGTACATGATCTCATTTTAGCAAATTATACAGAAATACATTTAAAGTATATGTCAAGTGAAAAATGCTAGTTAAGCCATATCCCTTCGTTCTGATTGAATGTTTACAGGTCCCATTGATACATCTTACTACTGTGTATAAATGCGGTAGTTATTTCCATATTTTTTTAATTTTTTTTACAATAATTTGTGGAAATTTATGTTTCAGATTCGGAATATCACTTTTTAATTGAATTTATTTAAAAGTTTGACTACCGAATTGTATGTTTCGATTAGGTATGTATACATATAACACTGAGTTTGGACAAAAGCAATCCGATACAATCAATATCAACACAATTATGTTTAGAAACAAGTTGAAAAATAACAAAACCGAATAAATTCAATTTTCTGTTATAGGCAAACGTCATTTATAATGAATTCATCAGTGCAATAATGAGTTATCCGCATTTACGAGGTATGACTTTAAATGTTATTTTTAGAAAATAGATAATTACCGTTCCTGATCAGATGTTATTCCTGCCGTTGCTGTAAAATATCAATTGAAACAAGGTTAACAGTACCATTATTATGATGAACACTGTTATACGAATATTTTTTCCCTGGTATAATAATACTCTTATATACATTCCAATTAAGAACTAAGCGTTACCATTGAGAGTCATGTATAATTAATCGCTTAAAGATTCAAGCTACAGTTACTGATATTATTGTAACACATACCGTGTTCGGAATCCTCGATGCTGGCGAACGGTTTGGGGGACGTATTGGTGCTGTTCATCCGTCGTTTCCTTGATAACAGATAAGTTTTAACATCACCTATGAAACATTACATAAATATAGCACTATTATAAAATGTTTATAAATCTATGTTACGGTGATAGCATACCTACTTTATATGATGATTATAAAATAACTACCGTATATTCGTCATATGAAAAAGTAGGCAGTTATGATGAAAAAGACAAAATAGGTAACAACAAATGCTGCGCTATTTTACGCAAAAGTATTATCAATTACGTATAAATTGAATGAATCAAATGTACCCCTTTTACTTACATAAATGGAAGATGTCCAAATCCTGCCAAAACAAATATCATGAAAGGGAACATTAAAGTTCAACACAGTGTGATACTATCATAACAATATCAGATTATCAGAATGATCATCACAACAGACATATATCTTATTTCAGAAAATAAATAAATTTAATTGAAAATAAATAGTCAATGGCGGCGTTGGTGTATACGTACTTGTCATAAACCCACCAATCCCTAGGTTGATGAGCAGTATGATAACGGAGACACAGGTAAGAACAATGGAGGTAACGTACAATGGACAGGTGTCATCACAAACTGAAATAACACCATACAAAATGCAATTCAAAGATCGTACAAAATACATACATTGGTCTGTCTGTTAACCGGATTATTATATATACATCGTGCATACATCAATCATAAATGTTCTACTTACAATCTTAGAATATTGACAAAATATGTATATACAAGTTCTGTGTATATTTAGCGTGCTATGGATAACTTCGTAAAGGTGATATTACAGTTGTTGTCATGCAGTGCAATATGCTGAGTCGATCAGGTATATGTACCCTGAAACAATCATCAGGTACCAATGAAGGACTGTAAAATAGTAATGTAGGGTGCTTCAAACTACTAAAACTGTACCACTAAGAGTCTTGCTTGCTGGGAAGACATTTGAGCGCTTATGCTTGTAACTAATATCTAAGAGCTTTAGTTAAACTTATACTTTAATATGTATGCTTACATGTAATGAGTGTGTAGTAAATAGGCAATATCATTATCCATATACCAGTATGTACATGTATCTGAGGACTCAGATCTCACGAGGGAATAGCGCCGTTGTAGATATTTCTGGGGTGTTGCTTTTATTATATACTGATACTATGTGCTGCAAACATTACTCATCGTTACTGTTTTAATGGATGATTTCCTAATTCCTATAGTGTGAAATAGAACTAAAATGTTCGAAACCCTGTTTTGTTTCGATTCGTCTATTTGATCAGTTGAAGCAACCAGCCAATTTAATTCAGTAGGAATTTGGCCACTAGAGTAGTAAAGCGAAAATACTGTCCGAATTACTTACGTCAGAATCATCAAAATAATAATTAGCTTTTGGACGGATTTTCTGTTTAAATAGAGCTTTGGCAACTGTTTCAGTATCTACTGGGTGGACAACAAGATAAGATAAGTATGTATTGCTGAACTATTAAAACTAAGTATTAATCAAGTACAAACCCAGGTGGACGCTAGTTGCTTATTCAGTATTTTTATGTTTGTATCAAAAACCCTTGAGGACGCGATGTCTCTACCGGTCCTTCGGAGAAACAACGAAATAAACTGTTTCGAAATTTTGAAAACTATTTTACAAGAATTTTAAAGGTAATTTAATTTTTTGGTAATAATATAGTTTGCTCGCATTGCGATTACCTTCATATATATGATCATTCTTGATATATTTGTATACATATGCGTTATAATCGGAGGGAAATATCTCTGATTAACAACCCTTCGGAAATCGCCATAATTCCTTACAAGGGAGTTAATTGAGTATGGAATTATGTGATATGTAAGTAAGTTACGTATTGATGTCGATTGAAGTCTTGTATTTGAGTAGCAAGTGATCGTGCAATATATGACGCAGGGGTCAAAATAATATGTGAGTGAGCTAAACACAATTTATTTTTTCCGTTTTTGAATTCAAACAAGATTTTTTTGGTTTATTATGTTTATAACACACATTTGCTAAATAAGTGTTAGATTCACCTCGTTGATAAGTGGTGAATCGCATTGTTGAATTTTCACTACTGCCCTTTTCATTTGTTGCGAATAGTAGAACTGTGTAAGTCGTAGCAGGAACCAAGTTTGTGAGTTGTACGCTTGGAGTTTCTTCAGTGACATCTATAATGTCCCACGTGGTTGACGACTGCTGTAGTAACCAAACATGGATCTGCTGGTCCTCTCGGCCTCGATTATTACCCGGTCTCCATGACACTACGGCAGAACTCGCTGTTATCTGGTCAACGACCAGGGCAGTCGGTGTGTCTGGGACATCTAACGTAATAACAACAAAGTGTAAAAAAAAAAGGAAAAGGAAATGCATACATCATTATCATGTTTAAGCAAGTTGAGAAGGCTTATATTGAAATAGATAGTAAACACATTGAATTAAGGAGATTTCTATTTTAAATTGAAAACGCACACGAAACATGGTGTATTTAAGTATTTCCGCATCGGATATCACCAATACGCTAATGGCTATACGACGAAGGTAAGACAATCGATAAAAATAGCTATATTTTTCTATCATTGGATTTTCACGGGAAAATATAAATAACTACACTTCCTGTAGTTTTGACAGGTCCGTAGTCATTTGAATTTAACGAAAATGAAACTTCATTAACCATTTTATCAATTTGAAAAATCGTTAAAGAGAGTGATAGCTACTTACCTATAATTAAGATAGTAAAGTGAAATACAAAATGTGGGTATATCGGGTTGATGACAGTTAGACTATAGTTTCCCATCTGATGGATTTGGAATGTCGGGAAATACAAATTTACTTTGTATCCGGGACGTGTTAGAATCTTGCCGTAGAAAATGTCGGAGACGCTCTCTGTTGTAAATGTGATCATAAGATTCTGTGTGGATGAGAGACGCTCTTCCCTACTGATGTACATGTCTGTTGGAGGAGGGTTGCTGATGAATACCAGTGACTTACGAAAAGGTTGGCCCTTGTTCGCAATATCAATCGATCCACCCTCAAGTAGTTTTGGGCTTCCTAAACATAGAGACATTTTTTTTTTATATTTTTTTCCCACATATTTTTAGTTTTTGAGTACAATTGCATTATTGAATGTATCATACTGTGTTATGATAATGTCCTATGTGAGTTCTACCTTTGACATCAAAGACAGCCGTTTCTGTCTGTATCAGCTGGCCGTCCCTCCCCCTGATAGAGTTCTGTACTTGACAGGCGTAAGTTCCACTGTCCTGATATGAAACGCTGGCCAGTGTGAGGGGCCTGCCGTCAGTCGTGACGTCACCAGTGAGGGTCCTGACGAGAGTTGTGCCGTACATATGCGTCCAAGCACCGTAAGTGTAAACGTTTGGAACACCTGCCGCATTACATGTCATCACTAAATGTGTATCGTGTTCCGTGGCGTTCTGCACTAACAACTCTACATCCGGGGCATCTGCAAACAAGTCTACATGTTTATGATCATGATCCTATATTGCAGAGAGGGTGTTTATCTCATTTGTTTGAACGTGTGTATATTGCTAAGCATTTTCATGTGCATATTTAAGCATTGAACTGTTTGTGTATGGTATGTATTATCTATTTGAATGACACAGCTTTGCAAGCAAACAACATAATGCGCGCAACATAAATATCATACAAAACAGTTCAATACTTATATTTACGTTTTCTCTGCCTCTTATGCTCTTTTTTAACCTATAATTCATATTCAAATTTGAAATTCCCGCCTTATCAACAGTTCACACAATTTCGTTCAATAGTTTGAACAGCGTTTTGTCGCGTGCTGATTGGCAAACAAAGTAGTACTTCGAAATATTAACAAACACTTCAATTTTATTCCACAATTCAGTATCAATACAATTGCGTATGATATGTCTATAGGGTAAATTAAGTTTATCAATAGAACTCTGAGCTGAAAGTTAGATTTGAAATTGTTTCGATTTTCCCCCGGAACAAATTTCGCGCATGGACAAATACAGTGAAATCCGACCTTGCCCTCCACGAGGGAGTTATTTTTGGAAGTTAATTCGAACTTTTCTCTTTGCTCATTTTGTGAAGAATCCAGGCGTGAATGTATTTGTTGATTGTATGGGAACCTGACAACAGTCTATAGATTCTATAACATCCTCGTTATTTGACATGTCAGAAACTGAGGAATGGTGGATGCGAGACGCGTGAAACTGATAGCGTATGAAGTGAGTGATCTTGCGACGGAGCACAGGTTCGTTACAAATGTCTGAAATGTTTATGTGTGCTGTGACTCATATCAGTAGGTCTGTAACCTATGTATCAGTAGGTCTATAGAATATGTGTTTTTAAGACATTTGTAACGAACCCCTGTTGATCAGTGCAGTGTAACAGACGATATTTCTGATCAATTGCATGAGCGTTAAAATTGTTTCCATTGCCGGCATTGGTTATTTCAACCGATGTGCATTTTGTACGATATTGCAGACCTTGGTCTTGCTTTCGTTGTAATGAAAGTGTTTTTTATTTTACTTTTTATTTTGCATATCAATTTACAATGACATTGTCAAATCTCACAATGTCCAGCGATATTTCAGCAGCCGTCATGTGTATTTATATTGGATATTGTAGTTCCGGTCAGTGTTGTATTAATACGCTAAGAATTGTGTTTCGTGATGCATGGTAATTAAAGTCCAATCAACGACACAGCTTTCAAAGAGGCTAATTAGTGACAATGCCATGCAAATGTAAATATGTTGTTGTAAACGAAGATATATTGGTTTCCGTAAGCCTTTTGACGTTACATACAGTATGCTTTTATTGACAAGTGTCGTAATCAAAGTGGACCTGAAATTACCAATCGGTCGTAGGCGAATTATTATATTTAGTTTGGGTACAAAAATATCATTGTGTAAACAATAGTTAAAGGCACTTAGTCAAGTCTGTAACAGTTACATGTAATTATTCGTAACGACTAAATTGATACCAGGGAAGCTTATGGGATCATGGTATATTAGTTGGGATCAAAACAATATTTTAGTTTAGTTTTAATTGTAGCCATGATTTCCCTGATATATTTTGCCGTCTGACTGGTAATCTTACAACACAGGTTTCGAAATAATCTACTCGATTAGGGCTTTGGTCGCTAGCCGACAGCCCATCTGATGCTTATATATATTCTCATTTAGCAATGTAACGACAAGTTATGAATGTATTATATCTGTTATCTTATCCTAGTATGTACATGTAATACCACCAGGACAATACTCACACTGTACCACAAGGTTGAGTTCGGACTGGGTATATAGCGACCCAAACTTCTGAGATGATGACGTGGCATTACATGTGTACCGCCCGGCCTTGTTCCTGTTTATAGATGGTAAGTCCAGAATGTTGTTGGTCGACGAATCCCGAGGATACCAGATAACAGTAGGGTTGGGGTTACCTACAGCTGTACAGGTACACCGGTAATTGTCTGTCTCGTTAACTGTTTCTGGACAGGCCGAGAGTGTTATAATGGGAGCATCTGTAAGTAAAAATATATATTTAACAAGGCAAAATTGTGCAAGGTATTGCATAGTCTCCAATCGATAATGATATATTTATTAACCCTTTCTCAAGATATATCAGAATATAATTCACAGTGCTATACTTCCTGCTCTCTGTACTCCACTACCCAAGACATAATTGCATACCAAATCCAGATTAAATGGTGTAGACATAATGCTCCAGATAATTTCTGTTTGAAAGATAAAATAAACCGTCAACTTGCATACCAAATCTAATTACTCCAAATACTGATAGAACGTTTGTCACAAACAAACCTTTTTCAAAAGTTGATGTCAAATCATAGGTGACCTTCTTTTTGTACATGATACTCCTCTAACTAAATACTCCAGGTAAGATAGTATAGAAAAAATGTTCGGACAAACTTTTGTAACAGATGGATTTCAGACGGCTGCAAACCTTAACCCCCTCTCCTTTCCGGAGAACCTGTTTGGGACTAACGAGCAAGGTTGTCCGCTAACATTTGTTAAAGCTGTAATTGAGGATTGTTGTAAAACATACTAAGCCTAAAACATGCCTGTATGTATGTGATGCAATTTTCGATGAATGCAATTTGTATCTCTGAAAAAGATGTGATGCATATAAAGTTTGTCTGTCACCACTGACATTTATCTTAGAAATCTATATATAAGGAGCAAATATAATTGATGCAGTTTGATAAGTTAACATTCATCTGTGAGACCTTAAAACCCCTGTTGCATGTTTTATATGGTTATGCGTGCTTACTATAAAGTAAAATTAACTACAATAACAAAAATGCAATATTGACTAACACAAAATCTGTTTTTATCATTGAACATTTAAAGTTTGTCCAAGTGATAAGGCCTGTACGATAATGTTAGAACGAAAATATGACGGTGTTTTATTTATAACAGTGGCACTTGCGAAAGTCTACAAAACGATACACAGTGACATAAGCATAGTAGGTTTGCAAATTTTGCGCGTGTTCCAACACTCGTCAAAGGTTTCATCGGAATCCATTCGCACTTTCCGAGAAAACGTAAGGAAAAACTGACATAGGAAGAAAAAGAAAGGGACTTAATACAATAGAAAAATTAACTAACAATTCTGATTACTTTGTAGTGATTAGGATTATATTGATAAAACTAGGTTCATTACCAAAATTTCAACGCATACCAGCGCCGGCGGATAGCTTTCGGGAGTTAGGATATTGTATGTGGTAAAATACATTAGCAGGAAACACGCCTAGGGAAATACGTTGAATCGGTAAATATTATTGTGCTGATTGCTGTACGGCATAACAAAACACACCAAAGTACCTGCGGTTGCACGTGCACCGTGACCTGCATACGTAATCGATATTGTGCCTGCAATGCAATTGTAAAGTTATTCTAGATTGTTTCAGTTTTAAAGCCATAAAGCGTTGATGCATGCATCTAGCGCTTGTGGCCTAGCGAAGAGACGATAAAACACATAACCCGCATTTTGTTCTTATTAGTGTAAAATAATACGCTTTATCAGATAACCTGCTAATCACATTCTTTATGTGAAAAGCTGTATAACCAGCGGGATATACAAAATAACGTAGTGCACATGTAATCAACTTTGCAAATATTGAGATTATCATGAAAACCCCCATGATACACAGCGGTAAATTGCAAACCATATCTTGGTTATAAATCCTTAACCTTATATTTTTTAATTAAATGGCCAAGAGAATACCATCAGGAAAATGTTGGTTTTTGTTAATAGATAATATTTTATGTTATACATGCTTAATTATCTAGAACGTCTGGATGGTTTGATTAATGAACTCGATTACTCTATGTCAAATATGAACATCACTACCGAGGTAAATTAATGAAATGCAAAATAATATTCAAGAAAAAGACAGGATCTGATATGAAGATTCATACACAGTTCCCTTTTGAACCTCAATGCATACTTAAACGGATAGTACAATTATTCTTCGTGTAATTATCATACAAAATGCAAGATTAACTTGTGTCCATTGTGTTTATTTGAATTCGGCCGAGTGAGAAGTAGACATAACTATGGACACGATCCTTGATTTTCTGGGAAATAGCGGTAACAAACTTCATTTGAAAAATCCAAGATGACAATCTGGCAGACAATTTACCTCTGTATCCATATCGAATTACAGTAGGTACATAATCATAAAAGAGGATCACGCGTAACCTGTAACAAACTTCTTATGAAAAAAACTAGAAATCCTCCTGTCGTAAATTCCGATCAACCTCAAGATGAGACATGTCGTTACACGAGGACAACCGCTCCTGGGACGATCGGAAACTAACCCAGTAGCACGGAAACGTGTATATAGACGGTTAATTGTACACGGGCCAACACCAAAACTGCCGTGCGACAGCAGTTTGGCTATGAACATCCATCAACATCGCAATTGCTCTACCCCTCTCAATTTGCGTTAAGCGTGGCATCTCAGTCAATGGCGAAATCAGAATGCCAACGTGGAAAATAAATGTGGCTGACCTTAGAGTATCCGTTGAGATTATTTGTTTGAAAAACTCCGGCTTGGCTTGATCACGCCGCGTGATTTGGACTAAAGAAGCTCACAAAGTCACACAATGACATCGTCACCCTTGGCTGATTTTAGGGTAGATTGTTGGGAAGCGAGATCGTTCTTGACGTAATACATGACCAAATATTCCATTATTTCCTTACAGCTAAGGTGTACTGCAGGGGGGGGGGGGGGGACTTTATGCGTTTCTTGTTTTGTTCAGTATATATTTTCTTTGTGACCCTTCTTTTCTCAGAAAAAAATCTGTATATTACATATCTACCGTAGATATTGAAAATGATTCATTCTATAAAAGCGATTTTTTTACTAGTGAACAATGTCACTTTTGTTAATTTGACCAATCAAATACTGATAACAAACTACCATGAGAAATAATTACAAGTGGCCCATATGGTCAAAGTCTGGTTAGCGTAACGATATGCAGGTCTTGAGATCCGTCTGAGACATGTGCCGATTGTAATATCTAAAATAACCAGATGTGTTATCTGTCAGAAAAACAAAATTTCTTGGGAAAATACAACGTTTAATTCCACAGTTAATTTTCATTTTAAGGAAGTCAGCAGACGATGAAGGTAAACAATTTTAACGGTTTGATCGAAGGAAGCTCATGTGAAATAAAAACAGCATCTCCAAGTACAAAGTTAGGCTAAGCGATGGGCAGAAAGTATGAGAGAACCAGTGTCATCTCTGACAGTGATAGTGATTACGTATAACTTGCAAAGGTGATCATCAGGATAAGTGGTGACGCAACAGCATTTCCCACACTCCCCACCATTTACATTCGGAGCGTATCAACAACGCGTAGCTATCTGAGTTAATATGAAAGCGGCTATTCAATAATTACATAATGAAAATAATTTCGCATAATTTGTTACAATATTCACCAATTAACCTACTTTATCAAAATAAGTAATTAAAGGAATTTAATATTAAGGTTTTACATTCTTTAAAAATATTTGCAGAGAGGACTATATTTTGTCGTGTAAGGTTGTCTAGACATCATGTTAGTCGTACAAGGATCTATACCAGGTATTTTCAGCTTAACGTGTCGCTTTGCGCACTCGTTGGAGATATCAGAATAGTGGCCACACTCGTGAAATATATGTGGTATTAAGGAAGACACCGTTAGATATCCTCTATATCTCTCGGTAGCTTACCGGAAATAGTCCTTTTAAATTTAAAATCTGTGTACCTATGGTATTGATTAGAATAAATGATGAGACAAATAGATATCAAAGAAATTAACAACTGTACAAAAACACACGCTTAACGAAGTTTCTATAGCATATACATGTGAATTTTGAAGCCTGGTCAAATATCGAGCGGGATGTCGTACAAATAATTGGATTCAGAGTTATTTTTTGTGTCACCTTGACATCATCTCATTGTTATAAGAGATGGAAGGCATAGCATGACTTGATAAATAATGTTCATGTATTAAAATTAACGTAATGGGAAGTAATATATAAAATGATGGTTCATTTAACTTAAGTGTCAGAAGAATATTTTTACGATTAGAAGATAAAAAACATTACACGGTCATGCGAGATATACGTTTGGGTGGTCGGGTGACGCTGTGGACAGCGCACTTGCCTTTAACAAAGGCGGCCGGGATTATGTTCCCCTGTCGGACATGAAAAGGTATCGGGTCACCTACCTAACCACGTGGGTTTTCCCAGACAAGTTTAAAACACGACCGGACAGCGAATTGTGCAGACAAACGAACAGCTATCCATGTAGTGTTTTGTCACATACCAAATCTGACATTAACAGTGCAACTATGTAAAAATGTAATCTACAACATTGCTTTAATATGTTGATTCAACGAAAGAAAATAAATTGAACTTAAAATTAACATAATGGGAAGTAATATATAAAATGATGGTAACAAACACATCAGTATTGTGTCATAATTTAAGTTCACCTACATTGTACATCTAATATTATGTCCAACTCCGAAGCCGATCCTCTGGCGTCGGTGAAGTCGTTTTCAGTCCTACATTTGTATAACCGTCCATTATCACTGCTGGTAGGTGGGTCAAAGGAGAGCGTCTGTGATGTCAGGGAACTGTCCGGTGTACCGTCCCTGTACCACGTGTACCGTGTGGTAGACGGGTTACCGGCAGTAGTGTCACAGCTCAGACGACCTACATAAGTGTCTCTGGCCAGCCAGGGGAACGGGTCAGTCACCTTCAGGTCATTGATCCGAGGGGCATCTGTTCAGGCAGGTAATACAGATCTTTATTTACGCACAAACAAGGAAAAACATACTTAAATTACGGTTTATATTTATTATGTAAGCCTTCAAAACACATTCCTGAAGGTTTTATTTATACAATAATAGAATTCGTTTGATAATTAGCTGCTCTAACATAATGCACAACTTAATTGCACAAAACCTCAAATCTAATGCGTATGGTTAGTTATGAATCAAACATGAAATCTCAAAACAATTTCAGGAGAAAGACGAAGTAATTATTTAATGTTATCAACAATTTTGTTATCCATTAAAACTGCAAAAATGGTTGCATATTGTCATATCGAACAACTTGTTAAACCGCGTTACTTGAAATAGTCATGGTGTGTCACTATTTGATCCAGTCGCTTCTAATTCAATGAACTAATACATATATGACATAGAAAAGAGGGGGATTCCAGGTTATATTTCGTTGAAGTGTTTGACATTTTAAAAACGGGAAATAGATGACCCATTTTTGCATTTTTTGTTAAATTTTAAAACGACATTCCTGTTTCTTAATCAAAACAAAGATGTACCAGACACTTTCACCAATTACTCCATTAAGCTCTAATCATACTTTGTCGGTACAAAGTCACGATGAGCTACGGTTGTGCAAACCTGGGACAACCCTGGGTATCCGTTGCGAGTCAGTATAGAAGCCAGGGTAATCCGTGTTGATCCTGGGTGTAATACCGTGACCGTTTGACTGGAACTTTAGAATTATTTGTAGCCTGTGTCTCAAAAGAAGCGATTGGTTTAAGAATTTACCAAATGTCGAATTATCAATTATGCTTACATATGGCCTTTCTATAATATAATTATTATTAAACATAAAAAATAAATGAAAATGGTAAAAAACTATTCTAAAATGTATTAAAATTTCTCCAGATAAGATTATCAAGTGAAATTTTGGTAACACATTGTGCTTTGCAAACCCTGGTGTAATACTATCTCGTCACACATTAAATGCACTTTACACAAAAGGGCAATGACTACCACAGTATACTTATATTTTACGTTGAGGACCTCGGTGTGACACCATATAACCAATAGTTATATAAACACAATAACTACCACAGTAGACTTACAGTAGACGATGAAGACCTCTGTGTGAGACCTGATGATCCATAGTTATATAAACACAATAACTACCACAGTAGACTTACAGTAGACGTTGAAGACCTTGGTGTGAGACCTGATGATCCATAGTTATATAAACACAATAACTACCACAGTAGACTTACAGTAGACGTTGAATACCTCGGTGTGGGATATGATGATCAATAGTTATATACAAACAATAACTTCCACAGTAGACTTACAGAAGACGTTGAAGACCTCGGTGTGAGACCTGGTCATCAATAGTTATATAAACACAATAACTACCACAGTAGACTTACAGTAGGCGTTGGAGACCTCAGTGTGAGACCCGACGATCAATAGTTATATAAGCACAATAACTACTACAGTAGACTTACAGTAGGCGTTGGAGACCTCAGTGTGAGACCTGATGATCAAAAATTATATAAACACAATAACTACCACAGTAAACTTACAGTAGACGTTGAAGACCTCGGTGTGGGATGTCATGAAGCCCTGTGCTGGATGAGTAGCTACACATGTACAATTGGCTCCGTTATATAAAGGTGTCAGACGTATCCTCATTACAGATACTGCCGTGTCTGCTGTGTTTGCTGTTGTAGAGGTAACGCTACGACCTGGACATGCCCATGTCAGACTGGCTAGTGGGTTACCTCCCCTTATACTACATCGGAGTTCAATGTCGTCACCATCATACACAGGATCACTATTACCGGTCACTATGGCTGGGTTAGTCGGTGGATCTAAAGACAAAATGTATATGTTTATCAACAAGTATTTAAAGGGCTACACGCTTTTTTCTTCATTGATGCAATTATCCGATGCTGATCAATTGAAATAGGTTTAATGCAACTGGAAACGATTAGCTAAACTGAACCCATTAGATGTTATACTAGCTCCAGGTGTTCTTATGAAAAAACCTTTTATTTTGTATAAACGTCGTTAATCGGTTTCAATAATAACTACTTTTTTTTCGAAACTATATTTCTTTCGTGACCATCGGATCACAACATTACTCTTAAATTGCATGTCGATTGTTTATGATATTTCTGTAATTGTGAGACTCAATGCTTTAAATTGTTTATACAATGTCTCTATCGTTCTTTTTATCTTACTATATGACCATTGCAGTCTTATTTTGTGAGAAAACATTCTACAGTTTGCCAACTATTAAATAGCACAACTCTGATAAAGATTCATTCTGGACGCAAAAGAACGTCTTACATCCCTGATCCTACGTTTACGTTTGATGTCGACAACTTTCATCTTTATTTATTCTATCTTAAGATTGATACTAGCAGTGCAATTTGTGAAGACAACCATTTCAAATTGTATTGTGTGAGGTTGTTAACACATCTACAAATTATCACTTTGATGTGCCCTTAGTAAAACATAAGATATTGCCAAGTATACTAAAAAAACAGAAAAAAAGAACGTAACACACACACAGAAATAATATGTCACAATAGAAAAGAATAAATCTCCTCTTGGATGATTAGTTCACCAAGAACTATCTTTGTGAATTTTTGGGATAGTTGCTTTATGTTTGAATGCGTTGATTTGTCAGTATCTACGTGTTTTTCTTTCCAATTTCGTTATCTGCGCTATACTTATTAAAACATTTGAAGATACATTTGTTTGTGTACGACTAATTTGAAATTGTTAATATAGTTAAATATGCGTACAAAAACTGAATGTACTGACGGTATGATTCAATGGTATATGGATACCTAAACAAAGGGGGTGTTACATGGCGGTGTACGACCGATTTTATAATATAATGGATTGGCATGACATTCATATTCAAACAATTATTTCTTTAAAAAAAACAAATTCGCAGCTTCATTGCTCTCTACACTGATTGTTAGGATGTTCATGACAAACGTGCAT